CCCCAAAACCCCAAAACCCCAAAACCCCAAAACCCCATTTTATAAATAAAATATTTATAAATGGAAAATAAGAAAAACTGGGACGAGAGCCAGAAGAGTGCTCCCAAGGAAGAGATGAGTCGGCTTGACTCCTCAACTCCTCCTCATGAGAGGTATGCAACAACTGCATTGGACTTTACAATGTGTTTATTTATAGACTTCATCCAAGAGCATCAACAGCTATGGAACAGTCCTCTAGTTCTCAATATGTTGAGATCGGCAAGAACATTGTCCGGAATGTTATTAATAATCAAATAGACTCTTTACCAAGCAGCAGTGGTAAGACTTTACTATAAAGTTTTCTAGACCAAGTATTTGGTATCAAAGCACAAAATTCTGATGACCCTAAAGCAGTAGTCCCTCTTCCGAATGTCCAAGAATTTCCTCAAGCTCATGAAACCATCCCAGAAATGGTTGAGAGCCCAAAAGAAGGAAATATTTTAAATGGCTCAAGCATCATGACTGAAGAAGTAGGCTCTCAGAAAGAGAAGTCAGTCATATCAGATGTTAAAAGTCAGAAGATAGTCATAGGCCCAGGCAATGAGGTTAAATTTGAGAATTTTAAGAGCCAAAGAAGTTCACAACTTGCAAAGAGACCAAGAGCTAATAAATCAAACAAGCCTATGAACAGATCCCTAGCTAAAATGTCTTACAATAGTAAGTAATATCAAATTCAAAATTTAGTCTCAAACGATTTTTCATCTATTAATATGTACAACTCTGGCAAAAGAGCAGACTCGAGAAAATATTCGTTACCGGATATAAAGCGTCATTTTCCTCGAAAAGCTCCCTCACACAAAAGTTACAAGTCTTCCAAGAAGAGCAAAAACAAGCTAAACTCTTCAAGCATTAGCAATGGAAAGGGTCAAAATAAAGGAAACCAAGAGATTGGGCAATCTTTCATGTCATTTAATGCCAATAACTCCTCCAATAGAAACCAACACGCTCATGCGTAAGAGTCTACTGGTTACTTTTAGACAATACAAACAGTCTTTTGGAAATCCTGCTCTCCAACCTTCAAATGTCAGGGAGTCATTCGATTCTCAGACAACTGAAGGGAAGAAAGATGCTGAAGAGGATGAGGTCCAAAGAGGTCAAAATTCTATTAATAACGAGGCTCATCAAGAGTATAACGATAATCCTTCTCATGCCTCTATTCCTAATACAGCTACAATCGGAGAAAATTCTTTGCCAGATATTGATAACTCAGTTGTTGATGAGACCCTCCCATTCAAAGGCTTGGACAACCATTATAATATGATCAGCAAGGAAGGATATAGTGGTGCCAACAACACTCATCAAATGCAAAAGACTAATGAAAATTTTTACTCAAGCTTCAAGTCAAAAGTGGCCAATTCAAATCCTCTCCAGCACAAAGAAAGCAGTTATAATCATCTAAGCTCATTCGGGAATGACCAATCAGAAAATAACGGTTATGACAGCAGCGATATTGGTATGCCTCTCTCAGTAATCTCATAGAGCGTGAAATTGGTAATAGAGCATCTACCAAGCAAGTAAATATGTATAATGTAATGCGATCATCCAAGAATGCCCAAAATAGTCGCTCTAATGCTCACCGGAATGCTAAATTCCGCAACAAATATAGCCGCTCTAAGAATAATTCCTCAGAAGTCAAGAACTCTATGAAAGCTGATATGGCCAATGTCTTACCTAAAATCTCAAACACTGGGAAAATAGTCTCTAGAAAAATGGCTGGAATGGGCAATGGTAAGTCAAACACAATGACTGTAGAAATATCGAGAAGGAGCAAGGGTAGTAACCACTATGACCAAAACCGCGGACACCTTAGCTATGATGACGTGTATGAAAATATCAGAGGCCTAAAGAAAAATAATCATAGCTCTGAAAAGTCTCATGCTGGTAAATCATTCGTATAATTCCACCTAGAAAGCTCACTAAGTCGTCATTCAGGGATCATCAACTACCGAATGGCCACAGGGATTTCACAACCAAACAGAAAAATAAAGTACCCTAAGCAGAGTGATGTCATTGCTCCATGGAAGATCAACAAGAAGAACAGTGTTCTGCAGAAAAGTTCTGAACACTACGCTGACCGTAGGAGCTATAATGCTAGCTCAAATAAAAATTCAAAATATGATGTTGAAGTAAAAGTAGCAGTTGCATCAAAGAATCACAACTTGAAAATTCCAAAGGTTTCTAACAAAAATGGGCTGATAAGTAGCTCAGACACTCAGAGTGTTGAAAACAAGAGGGAGTCTCTTACGAACCAGACTACCATCAAAAGGATCAATAAGAACAGAGGGCCTGATGGGTATAATAAGACTCCAAATTTCATCAATCCAAATGAGAGCATGAAGACAGTTAAAAAGCCCAAACCTCGACAAAAAGTGAAGCAGAAATCAGTCACAAATTCGACCCTAATAGACTACAATGACAGTTCTATTCTTGAAAAACACACTATAAACCTTGACAGCGATACTGAATTTCTTGAGAATAAGAGCCAAGTCCCTACAGAATCACAATATGTCCAAAACCAGCAAACTATAAACTACGAAGACAGTGGCCTGGTCGAAGGCGGAAATCATACTAACAAAGAGGAGAACAAAAGTTCTCAGAAAGTAGACTCGGATAAACCTCCCCATTTCAACGATGAAAATGATGAGAAAAACCTAGCCACCTTCAGGGAGAAACAAAAATCTCAGTCAGACATCCATTATGGGGATGTAGACCTTGAGGAAATGGATGGTGACAGAGAAGCCAAAACTGCTCTGGAAAGATCGAGGAAGTTTAATACTATAAATGCTGTCCGTGAAGGAGATAATTACAAGAATGATAGGACATTACAACTCCAGCTTAAGCAACTTAATATTTCTGTCTCTGAACGAGATCGACTAAATGATGAAATTTATTTGAATACTAATTCTGCAGAAGAGAACCCTGAAGGGGTTCATGTACCAATAGAAGACAGTAGAAGTATCACTAAGCGTACACTTGAACTCAATACTCATACTTCTGAAAGTATTGTAGAAGGAGAATCCGGATTCTCTGTAAAAGAAGAAATTGAGTATTCAGACAAAAATCTTCAGATTAGTTCTGAACATTCTCCTACTAGGAACAAAAATTTGCAAATAAGTCAGAAAGCCTCTCCATTACATGACCAAAATATCCAAACTACAGCTAAAAGTGGCATTATGGGGTCAAAGTCTCCTAATTCATTCCCGAAAAATCGAAAGTTTACAAGTCAAAATGAGTACATTAACAATGAAAAATCAAGGCTCCAACTGAGTAATGGGAGAAGAGAAAAGGCTCAAAGCTCAAAGGACAAAAAAGAAAGTCTCAAGGGAAATCTAAAGAGTAAAATTTCAGTCTAACCATTCCAGGTTCTCAGAAATCTGAAGCAAGATATGGCAAAAATAGACCTTTTGAGTATAATCAAAATAATTCTCATCAGAGAAATTCAGGCATTCCAGTCCAGAACAGTCAAGAGAAGAAGCTGCCTGATAGGGTTACTCACACTCGGACAGATGTCAGGCCTAGGGATGATAACTATTCAATCCCAGAATTTAGAGGATTTGACAATAAATCTGTAGAGTATTACCCACATGCAGCTCCTCAGGTCCAAGATAAAGGGGTGCAGCCTAGTACAAAAGGAAAATCAGAAGGCGTTCAATTTGATCTCAGTGAAAAGCCCTCTGCTACTCAAATCGTTGCTCCACAAAATGTCTCTGAGGTAGTCCAGTTTGACCCAGATGCGAAATCACAAGGTATTCAAATGACTCCACACTACAATGCTTCTGAAGGCATTCAATTCGAAATGGATAACAAATCACAAGGAATTCAGATGACCTCAAACCACGGGATTTCTGAAGCAAATCAGTATAACTTTGATGATAAAAAGTCTCAAGGAATTCAACATGTGCCTGAGAGGAAGAAATCTCAAGGCCTACAAATATACCCTGACCGGACAAAATCAGAAGGAATCCAGATGACCAATATTGGTGGAGTCTCTGAAGGAAACCAAGTAGGGTCTTCAATAAATACCCCTGTTTCTTACATCTCAGTTGGTAACAAAGGCTATCAATTTGATGTTGATAATTATAATAAGTCGATACAAGCCGATACACATCCTCTAAAAGACATGGATATTCAGTGAGATCTCTCAGAGAATGACAAGGGAATCCAAGCTGACCCTGAATATGTTTCGAGAGGTCAATCAGCAGGAAGTGACTCTTTACTAAATCCTCTAATGGAGAAAGAACTTGAAATAGTTGATAACGCTAGCAAAATTTCCCATGACTCTAACCTGATTGACTTCAGCTGTCAATTCTCCTACCATACGATCGAATCTACAGAAGGTGAAGCAATGAAAGGTATTACTACCATTTTATTTATAGAACTAGAGCCTGAGTCTGAAGAGACCGAAGAGAGGACTTTTACACCAGATTATCCCGAAAGCCTAAGCTCTCATCCTGAACAGCTCTCTTCCTCAGAGAATGAGAAAATGAGTGCTTACAGATCTCCTCCTGATTTGAACGATATCAAAGACGATATCAAAAAGAGCAAAAAGGAAAGAACAGGCAGCTTCACTCATAACAAAAAAGAGCAAGATAAACAACGTAATATGGTGTTACTTGACAAACCCTATGTTCCTAAAGGAATAAAGCACAAGAAAGAGAAGTCTGAAAATCCTTCTGAAGAAAGTGGATCCTACATGGAAGGTAATCTATTTTCTCAATTACATTTAGAGAGATATTACAAACGAAAACCTAGTGAGGACTCTCAAAAAGATGATGGCAACTCTACTTATGCTAAAACTGGCTCAAAAGGGAGGGATAGCAAGAGGAAAAACCCTAATTTTGTTCAAAACCCTCATCGTATCAAAGAGCTAGAAAAATTAGACCCAGAAGCAACAAGGTTAAAGAGTATTTAAACATATTTCATACTATAGATAACAAGAGCAAAAATGAGCCCAAAAAGAAGAACTTAATTCCAGTTAATACATTCCTAAGCGGGCAATCCCTTGATAGTTACCCTGTACGTTTGGAGGGAAGTCAGCCGACACCTAGATCTGAGGAAAATAAAGCATTTTCAGAGTTTGAAACCCCTTCAGAAGTCGAGCAACTGTACAAGGATATTTTTAAAGATCTTCCTCAAGACACTGTGAACAACCTCACATCGCTATCACAAAAATCTAAAAATTCAGGCCACTTGAATTCCCATAGAGATAATAAAAAAGATTGGGCTAATACCCCTTTATATGACGAATACGAAAAGGTAGGAGTTACCTTGAAGAACTCCAAGTTCGATCCCACATTTACTTACAAAAAGACAAGCAAAAAGGGTGGAGTGGACTATGATTTCTACAACGAGGAAGAGGCTAAACAGGTCTATGAATTCGTACGTGGACGCTATGATAGCCAAAACTATGATAAATCTATTAAATCTTTCTATGAGAAAGCTCTTAACACCCTCTGATGGATCTATGAAGACCAAATGGAGTTAAATACCTTCAAAAAAATTCGAATGATGTATAAATAAGGTCGATGTAGTAACCACTCTTAAGTTGCTACTCCGCTGACAGTTGATTTACCTAGCCAGGAGAGATATAATGAACATTTTTGAGAGCATTCGCTTGTTCAAAGTTCTCAAAACAAAGGCCAAGAATTTGATCAGTAGTCACATAGATTTTAAAGAAGATGCTAAAAATACCACTAAGCGGATGCAAAGAGTCTGCAAAGATCTTGAAGACTGCCAAGGATCTTTGATTCAAAACATCGTCAAATTCCTCAAAAACAACAAACTTTTTGAAAACAAGATCTTCATCTTTGAAGGCAAGGACTGGCTGACCTACTCCATAAAGGAGTATTACAAAATTGCAGAGAATGCCAAGAAGGTCGGAATTATCATGAGAAATGTCAAAGATCTTGATAAATCAGGGGGTATTTAGGCAATCCTAGTTATTTTCCAACCACTAGATCTTAATGAGGGGTTTTGGGGTTTTGGGGTTTTGGGGG